GCCACCCCATAAATATTTTTCTAGATCCGCCCCTGTCCCAGTGCAAAAACATTTAATTGAAAAACATTTTTTTCAAAATTGGCATGTTTCCATTGAGCAAATATATTGCTGTGATCTCCATTTGCACAGTTCTATGGTTGATTGGAAACACAGCTAGTGTTTTCCTGTATTCCCTCTATGCTTCTTCTTCTCTTCTGTTCTAGATCATTCTCCCACCCTTGTCTCTCTTCTCTCCTCCCTTTTTTATTTTTCCCCTTCTTTACTGTCTATGAATCCATTGCATTTTAAATAAACCCAAAACAACTTCTAGTAAAGTCTCTTTAAAGTAGATATATAACAATTTATTTATATATACACACACATATATTCAGTATTGATGACAGAAAATGTCTGATTTAGTCCTCCAAACACTTCCTATCAGAGTAGTGTGGATGTCTGAGTAATTCCCAAAATAACACTAAAACTCCCAGACGGTTGAAAGCGTATGTCATAAATGTAAGGACTAAAGTAAGAAGTGCGGAGGTGAGAATTTGAAAACATGTCTCTCTCTGAATGTAATGGGCAATGTGAGATCCATAAGCAAAACAACAATGTGGGAGAGTGGATCGCTGAACAGGAACATGGGGAACGTAAGAAGCAGTGTTATATCTCTGTTGTGTAATATTACGTTCTAATTACAATCTTTGTTTACACAGAAACAGCATAAATCGAAAAGGTGTAATGCCCCTGCCACGCCACTAGTTGGTGTGAGGCTTGGACAAACGAAAGTTTTCCCTCATCATCGACTACATTGTTTACAAAGTTATCCCACCACTGGCTTGTTCTCCCAGGTCGCGTCCAGTAGCGCCTCCTTGACATGCTTCTTCATCGCATACATCTTCTAATTAACGGAGTGGAGATGTACGAGATCCGTCTTCGATGATTTAAGTAAAGAGATACAAAATGAGCAGCGTGTTGGAGAGCTGTAGTTAGATTTATAAGAGTCAGAAGCACAAATAGTACTCTGGCAACTGGCATTTTCTGTAGTTTCTTCTTCTGTGGCTTGTAGACAGCCGTTATGAAATGTGTCACACTACGTATGAGCTGGGGATTTTCTGGAAGAAAAGATCCGTTTATTCTGTTTACAAGACAACAGACACCGGTACATTTTAGAAACTTCGCACTCTGGAACCCGTTCTCAAACTGTGCCGTTGTCAAAGAAAACATTCACCATTTTCGTGTAAATGTACAGTGCAAACGCAACAAAACTCTTCCATTTTCACCTGAAATTGTTGTCGTGTAAACGGGGCCCTAGTTTTAGTCAGTTCATCTCTGTTTTACTGTCGGGTCAGTATCACTCGATGCTAACCCTCAGATCTCGGTACTGGAAGTGATCCGTATGAAAATGTAAACATGAGCTCAGTTCGAAACAAACACCAGAAAATTGTGAAGATGAATTTCTAAACGCAACACGTTTCTCAGGATGGTGAACGTACCCCACCGATCATCTCAAAGTGCTCCTGCCGGCTGAAGTCAATGGCCTTGCCGTTGAAGAACCACTTGAAGACAGGACTGAGGGACGAGTCGCTGGACACCTGGCAGGGCAGGACCAGGCTCTGTCCCACGCTGGCGTCTGAGCTTAGAGGCGGGACCACAATCCTGGTGGGCTCTGTGGCAGAGCGGCAGATAGAGAAAGATCATTTGTTACTGTGCATGTGCTAGTGGAACGTATCCCTATAAAATCTGGCCGAGTGAACAAGGTAATAAAGCTTAATTTGGCTCGAATAGAGAGACAGATTGTGGTCCATCAGTGTAATTAAGTGACCTTAAATAACTTCACTTAGGAAGCAAATGCCTCCTATAATTCGGCATGAATAATTAAGCACACAGCTATTACGTCAACTAGAAAAAAAAATGAGGATACTCCCACTTTATAATCATTCTTTCTAAAAAAAAATCTCTAACAATGCGACAGGAGCTCTTTTTGAATGAGTAAAAATATTCTTCGATCACAGCAGCAGCGGAGGTTTGTCCCACTCCGCTACATGAGCAATAACTCAGAGCTGACAAACCCGTGGATGACTTATACGTCTGTCACAAGCGGGCGGGAACATAAAGCGCCTTTATATTTCATTATCAGAGTCATGCTTGAGGTGCTTCCTCCCTCCACTAACATAATTTAAACTCACGGCTTAAAGAAAAAGAGGAACAAGAGCAAAGAGCATGGAAATACCTTTCACTACTAGAGCCCCCGTGCTGCTGGATGCTCCAAAATGGTTTCTGGCCACACACGTGTAACTGCCCTCATCCGCCTTGGAGATGTTGGCGATGCGCAGCGTGCCGTCCTCCAGGATCATCTCTCTAAAGACATCAGGAAGACATAAAAAATACACAATTATTCATTCTCTTCATTAAGGTGAACACATATTGAGGTTATAATAGATTTGGATTTTTCATTATAGTGTAACTTTTTATCAGGTGAACTAATTAATGGTTCTAAAATGATTTTATCCCATATTTCCCTTGACTTTTGAACCCAGTTATTTTGCATTATATTGCAGAAATCTGTCATTTTGCTTCAGTTATCTTAGTCCTGGATTCCTCAAAACCTTAGAAATGGCTTTGAAAGTCTTTCTAGATATGCAGATGATGTAAACTTTGTTTTTCATCTGTTTTTGAATTTCTTTAGATTGAAATATGATATGGTTTTTTTAAGAGCTTTCAGCCTACTTCATGTTGCCAGACAAGTTCTAGTTAAGTGAGTTCTGGTCAGGGTGTGGCTGGGGAAATTACTCCAAAACTAATGGTTACTTACAATCATTTCCAGATTTACCAATGGGAGAAATTATGACTTCTAATAAGGCCAGCTTGGTTTTTGATGGGCTTGTTCCCCTGGTCAGTGAACTCATCATTTGAAAACTGCTTTTTGAATTTTCTCAGGTAAGCTCCGTCGGTGTATTTAAGTATCACAAAAAAGAAGAAATTTGTCAAGGGGCAATTTTTTTCCTGTCACTGCAACTGATTTGTATGACATGAGGAACAGAATTACAGGAAAGAATCAGAACATTTTGAACTAAAAATTGTAATTTTAGTTCTAAGTCAGAAAACATGTAAAACATCATGCATAAATAAGGCACAGTCAATTCACATGATCAAACAAAAATGTGACAAACATCCGACTCAGGAATCAAACAATTTCATAGCAGCTCACAAGAATAAATATGTATTCACTTGGGCCGAGCTTAAACCCAAAGAGCATGTCTGACACGCTGTGCTTTGCGCTGATTTATTGACAAAAATATCAAACTGTGAGTGATGGAGGCGCGCTGAGAACATGACCTGAGGGGCAATGAGGTGCAGAACAAAGAGCGACGTGCACAACTGTCTGCGCTGGAGACCGATTCCGTTCCAGCCTGTGCAAACACACAGGCTATTCAATAGTTGGGTAATTTTTCTCCCCCTTTTTTTCTCCAAGATGAAAGCATGACAAATATGATAAATACACCATCTGAACGGTCACGTGTTCAGGCAGGACGTCTGTGGGAATATGGCTGTATCGATCTGACGTAGAGCAAAAACCAAGACAGACATGAAAACAATGGTAATAGACTTCACTTTTCATCTGACTCATAAAATAGATTACATGATGATCAAATATAAAGCAGTTTATCAAATAACCAGGCAAATCAAACAAAAACTTGGATCCGACTGATTATTTTTCCATCTTTTCAGCTTCTGCCATCTATTTTTTTCTACAGTGTTTTTGCTTCTGCCTGAAATAAGACAATTGATTGCAACCAAATAACTGCTCAGATCAGAGAAATGAGCCATTCTTTCAACTCAAAAGAGGATTCATCATAATTAATTCAATGAAAGTCACTAATCAGGTTTATTTCTCTTATTCATATTAGAAGTTTAAATAAAAGAGCTTTTATGACCGAAAAGTCTAGATTACACTTTTTGTCAGTAAGGAAAACCAATTGATGAATCTGACCTTGCTGTAATCGAATAAAACTGAAGTATATGCTTCGGATATTTGATTAGCTGCTGTGGTTCTCTGCTGAGTCAAACCAATCAAACCCTTTGGAAAACCTGTTCCCCTCCTCTCCTATGGGGGCATTGTAGCAAGAGCCACTTAAGAAAACAACATAAAAACCTCAGATTTTAGAGGTTCTAGAATTTCTCTTTTGTTTTTGGTCAACAACAACAAGTCATTTCTCCAGCTAACGTTAGCACTCACTTTTGTTTTGGTTCTACTTACCCAGAATGCAATATAGTCCATATTGTTGTGAACCTTCTGGACTTTAGTATTCAGATCTTATCATTCACAGGTCCCTTAGCAATGAAACTAGGTAATGCTTAAAACTGTGAAATAATAAATAAATAAGTTCTGCTTCCTCTGCACTTGCCCACATACAAATGATGCATCAGGTATGTATTTAGGGCAGAGTCTGGTCATATTTATTAGGTTTGTAACATTACACCCCAGTAATGAGGAGGCTACAGACCATCCTGCATTCACAAAAATGAGATGAGTTGATAATAATATTTTTAGAAACATGATAATTAAGAAACCCCTTTTATGTCTCCCAAAAAATTAAGATTTTACAAACCCAAAACTGTTTCAAAGAATTTACAATCAGTGTAGAATTATCCAACCTGGCTTTGATCTCATAGTAACTGAGAGTTTGTTCTAGATATAACCAAATAAGGTTCAAGCCCTGTGAAAGCTAAGTTAACATTAGTCTTGTTAACAGCTATCCATACAAAAGCTAATCCTGCCACTCTGCCATCATTTCTTTGTCTTAAATACTGTAGTTTTACACTCAGGAACTACTTCCTTTGTTACATGAAAATATGAACCTCAAACATAGAAACAACAGAATGTCAACCTTAAAGAACACACCTTTATATTAGGGGCTAATAATATTAGCGTTCACTTATTTCACTTAAAGACATGTTTTAACAAACAGATAGCGCCTCATGAAACAAACTTCATATTGACAATACATATTGCTCTGTCTAATTACTGAATGTCAGTACATTTCTGATAAGTATGTATGTTAATAGAAATTGCAGCTGGAGCACAGAGTGCTGTGTTGTTGAAGACCGGTGCTCTTTGTGTCATAAATACTGCATGGGATATGAGGGGATTTTCACGGAGTCACAGCCAGCGGAACATAATACAAACCTAACCTTCCAGTGAAAATGTAATAATTATACATCATTTGTACAATTAGTACACTAAGCAAACAAACACACACACACACATGCACACACACACACACACACACACGCACACACACACACACCCCCACACATATATTAAAAATATTATATATATAAAAAAAATTCCCTTCTCACCCTCAGCGGGGGGTCTCTATCTCTCTCTCTCTCGTCCTCTGAGCTCAGGTCCTCTACCAGAGGCCTGGGAGCTTGAGGTTCTCCTCCAGTATCTTGGCTGTGCCTAGAACTGCACATTTCTGGACTGAGATGTCTGATGTTGTTCCTGGGATCTGTTTTAGCCACTGCTCCAGTTTGGGGGTGACTGCCCCGAGGGCCCCGATGACCACAGGCACCACTGTGGTCTTCACCTTCCAGGTGTTTTCCAATTCCTCTCTGAGGCCCTGGTATTTCTCCAGGTTTTTGTGCTTCTTTTTCCTGAGGTTGTAGTCACTTGGTATTGCTACATCCACCACAACGGCTTTCCTCTGTTCTTTATCCACCACCACAATGTCCGGTTGCTGTTGCAAAAACTAAAACTGTTGCTTAACTTGTAAAATTCTGTGTTAAATTGAAGCAGGTACAGTCTTTGTCAGACACACAAAAACAATTGACTGCTTCTCAGAGTCAGGCTCTACTTCAGGCTATAATGTCTAAACTAGGAAAATTTATCAATAAGCTATAGGAACTAGCGCTCTGTTCCAGGGAACCTTAGGAGAAGTAACTTAAGAATCAGACAAGGGCTGCTTTGGTTACATTCTGGGTAAAAAAAAATTGGGCAGTTTGCTAAGGATTTGATTTTAGAGGACTCCTAATGGCTGCAAGGTGAATGAAAATCACTTTTCATATAAGTTTGTAAGAGCTACGACTGGTTTTCATCAGTCTGCTTAAATTACTTTTTTTTAGCATGGATTCTTCAGAAGCTGCTCCAGCCAATATCGAGCTGCTTGAAAGAAGGCTCTAATGGGCCTACTGGTGTAACAACTATCTCACTTTAATATCATTCCTAACACTGAGTTTGTAGGATGGGATCCTGCAAATAAAACGCTCCAGTTTAGAACCAAGAGTTCTAACCTTTTGCCCTTGTTTTCTTTAATTTTGAATGGTCTTTGGCTATTGATGGACAGGTCTTCTTGGTGCTTTAATAGTAGTAACATTTCTAAGAAACACAACTCTCACTTTACCAACTTTATGCTGATTAGTGGGACAATGTGAAGTCTTGAATAAAGTAATAACCAAAGGTTTTGTCTGTGAAACCAATTTTTGTTTTCATACTGTTTTTTTCATGAGTATTCAGATTGTTTTAGATTAATGAGTTGGATCAGTCTTACTCAAGGAGGGTATTAAAGAATCATCCAAGACCATCACCATCCCACAACCTCTGCAAAATGATTTGTGTCGTTGTCCAGCATGAATAAATAAAACTGTGGACCCATAGTCAGGAAACCCGTTGACCCAATATGTGGTCAGTTTCTGTGTCTGACTCGAATGAAACAAGAATGGCTCACCTTCATTGAGAATTGGGCCCCATAGATCATTTTCATCAATCCAAAACAAAAACCAAAGGGCAATACTGTAAAAGTTGACTTTAAATAAATTGACAAATCTCAGAAAATGTTTAGTATACCACAGAACAGAGCTTCTCAAACTTTTTCAGACTCAGCCCTGCTTTTTCCAACCGTGTTATAAAAATGCTCTATTTATCAAATACGACTTAAAATAAATTTCGTAATTATGTAAGAAAATATGCAACTTTGTAGTTTAATGCCTTGAAATAGGGCCTCTGTCTCTATAAAACTCCTGCTCTTTCTGAAACTCCGCCTCTCACACAATAGTTCTAAGTGACAGTGTTTGTCTTTTGTTTTCTCTCCAGTAATTTTTTTGAAGCATTATTGTTCAGATCTTTGAGGACAACTTGGTAACATTTTCTTCTACTCATGATGGTTTTTACTGAAGGCAAAAGGTGATTTTTAATTTGCATATTTGAAGGTGAAAATGGTTATTGGAAAACTTCAGACTGATTTTTTATTTTAAGCTTCTCACTTGCCTCATGATAAGGACTGATTTCTGCTGATTCCAGGGCTCTTGATATTACTCAGTGAGTTATCAATCGACAGCAAGGAAAAAGGCAGTCTTTTTTTCTTTGCTAAATCAAACCGTTTGACTTTGATTAATTCTATGGCATCATTCTTTGTTGCACCATCATCATATTTAATGGCCCTAATGAAAAAGCCCAACTCTGACACACTGACAGATTCATGAAACCAAGAGTTAATGTTAGCAGAAAAATCAGGACAATTGTTTGCAATTGTTTTTGCACATGGTGTTTGCTTCCATCTAACTATTCATCATCTATACCTGCTTATTTCTGCCAAGTCACATAATCACGAAGTGCAGTGTGAAAGTGAACCGCATCGTCTGAAAATGTAACAAATTATATAACATTGGTCCCGGACTATCAGGTGTGAAAACACCTTAAAACCAACACTCACTGCATGTCAAAGTAGAGGGAAACATCCATAAGTGTTTTTTTTTCCTTTCCCTTTTTGATATTGATAGACCACCCTTGTGGATAGATCTATATAAAAATGGGTCTAAATGATAAAACTTGTCAGTGTTCGGTGCTGCGGCGCTGATGTTAACCTACCTCTTGCCAGTCCTCAGGAGCTCGCCTCCTCTCCACCAGGAGATGGTGGCCCTGGGGGACGCGTTGGGCCGGCACTCTAAGACCACCTCTCCCCCTCTATGGATCACCGTGGATTTTTTCACGGGCCGCTGGGTAAAGTCAGGCGGCGAAGCTAAGGAAGAGACCCGTGTTGAAGCCATTTGTCTCGCTTTGTAGAGGGACAACGACCGGCTGTCAGCCAAAATGTCAAGTGTGTCACTGGCAATTATAGACATTTCATTTTACCACCAGATTGGCTGCTTGTTTGAATTGATTATATATATTTTTTTTTTTTTTGGAAGCAAAGGCCAGGCCTCTGTGAAGAGCTTATTTATTCTATTTTTGACATTCTATTGTCAACGCTAGTTGATCACAGTGAATGAAACCTACCCACAACCTTGAGCTCAGCACTGGCATAGAGTGATCCATATTCATTCTCTGCCACACACTGATACATCCCTGAGTCTGACAAACGGATTGTGGATATGGTCAGTCTACCAGCTTCAACATGAACTCTCTCCTGAAAAAAACACACCAGGAGTTGCAGCTGTGACACATTTTTTTCAGTATTACTGACAAGAGAAACATAATCTTTTTATTAGAAGAAGCTATTACTTTCTGCTTTGTGTCTTACCTTTGTTGTCAGCGGTTGACCATTCTTTAACCATCGATATTTAGGTTTAGGTTTACCAATGGCTTTACATTCCCACTGCAGGTTGGCATCAATGGCCATATGTGCATCTTTCAGGATCTGGGTCCACTGAAGATGTTCAACATCTGAGGAGAAAACAGATGAATGAGACGAGACCTGTCACGATAACAAATTTTACTAACAATACATTGTCCTATCAGATATTGTGATAAACGATAATGTTATTTTGAAAATAACATATTGATGGTGGGTGTGAGGGAGAGAAGCAGGATGAATCACAGAAATTATTTTACTGTTGTACACAGAAAACAAATCGTTGCAAAGAATTATTATGCAGTTATTAATGCTGGAACAATTATAAGAAAAGCATGAGAAATGTTCAGTCTGTTACATTTGTCCTGCTTCAAAAATGGTTAATTTGTTTAAAATATAAAATATAATGTAAAGACGGTGCACATTAAAAAACATTTGTGTAAATATACAAGCTTAGCCAAATAGTCTAATTTTCAGCCACAGTCTCTGGAGCACGGGGCATGAGCACAGCAAGAATTAAGAGACAGTGATTACAGTAATTAAAATACAATGAGCATATAATAATAAACAGAGTTTCAGAGCAAATGTTCACACACACTTAATGATTGACTCAATCATAATCTTGACTTAATGACTGTTTCTGTTCTTCAGTTTTGCCATGAATGTGGTTGAATCCAAATACAGTTAGGAAAACATAATGTGTTCATATGAAGATGTATCGATATGATGCTTTTATTTGTTTGTTTTACTTTCCAAACACAAATGTTTCAATCAAAAAATAGCTTAAGAGGCGATGTGCTTCTATTGTCTACAGAGAAAGTTGAAGTCAGTGTAGAAATGAAACATGAGATGGGGCGGCGCTGGGTGGGAGTTTGCATAGTTGCCCTGCAACAAGAGTGTCCTGGTCTGTGCCAGCCTGGCAAAAACAAGCCTTGCTTCTTACAAGGGGACGAAACACTCAGCTACAGAGAAATTATTGCTTGGACGTTAGTGATTTATCCAGTCACTAATGTTTAGCCGTGATGTATGTAAGGCACTTGATAAAACTTACCAGAAATTGCATGCACTGTAAACAACCCCACTGCATCTTTGTCAGCAGTAAAAGGTCTTCTACAGTCCTCCTACTCCTACTATACTTGCTCAATTTTTGGAAGAGTGGTCAAACAAGACTGAACAACGTTGTTCACTTCCTCCGCTGCCATTGCTGAGACTACAACCCAACATGGGCAGACTACAATTCTAAAACAGCTCAGAAAGTCAACATCATCATTCAGAATTCCTCCTTCTGTTTAAATGGTCTGGTTGAAATTCAACTGGAGAAAGCAGAATCAATAGGAGAAATCTCAGATCAAACACTAAAGGGAGATGAGAATCTGGTGGAATTGCATAACAGAATTCACATGTTGTTCCTGTACATGCGTTGATTCTCTCAAGGTACTCGAGTTTTCTTCCATTGTTCGCTCTTGGGTGTGCAGGCATGTTGCCCAGCACCAAGCTGTAACCATAGCCTGAAAAGAACTTTTAACATCAACTCGCGTCATTCCTGGAGTTGACGCAAAAAAATGCACCAACATCGTATCCGGGAAACGTTTGTAAATTTCAGCAAAATCTCAGGATTCAGGTGTCCAGTGCAATTGAGTCACACAGAAAGAAGACGTTAGGGAGAAACTTATTTATGACATGGGATTCCCAAATAATGCTTATCCATCCATCCATTTCCTATACACCCTTGTCCCTTAGTGGTGTCGAGAGGGTTGCTGGTAACCTCTCCAGCTAACGTTCAGGGCGCTCGTTACTGGACAGGTCACCAGGCTGTCGCAGGGCCAGATAATGCTTATCCAGTGCAAAATAGAGCTTCACTCTGTGGCTCCTTTCCTAGTGTCTACTGTATAGACCGGATTTAATGACTTAACAGACACAGAATAGCGTCCAATAAAAGGAACGAATTACAGGAGTTGTCCTTGACTGATTGCAGACCAGAGCCGCTGGCGCTGCTGGGACCGTTAGCAGAGCTTTTAATGTAGTCACTGGCAGCTCTGCCTCAGGGGTATGCTAGAGTTGGCATATAATGACAGGGCATGGACAAGGAACTCAACACTCTGTGTAAAGCAGAACTTAAAGTTTAAATGCAAGTAATTTATACTTTATGAGAGAAATTCCAGTTTATGAGCAGTAACATTTATGGGGAGAGAATGATTGATTTTATTTCAGATATGTAAATAGAAATCAATTTAAATATAAATGAAACACCTCTATTCAACAGATGTCTATGCTCAATAAAAACTATGATAAAAAAATTACACCTATTTAATCTTACCCAAGCAATAACCTAGGCAATGATTTTGTAATATTGCACATCACTATAATAAATTATACAAACTGTGTAACTCCATTATTAATTCGTATGCCATTGTTTTCTATTGTTAAACTGTTGTATAATTTTCCACAACTAGATGTTGAAAAAAATCCTTGTGGTCCAGATTCTGTCTATCTGAAGTATAGTGTACTTCACAGAAATATTTTACAATTCAAATTGAATTCAATTCAAATTCAAAAATACTTTGTTAATCCCAAAGGGACAAACAATAACACAAATAAATAATTTCTGGCAACAGAAATCTAAATAGAGTGATGTCAAAGAATAGCACAAAATTCTTTTTTAATATATTAAGTCAGAGGTTGCCAAACTGTGGGGCGCGGGATGGATGAATGGAAG